CCCCCCCCAGATATGTGTCACAAAGATGTCTACACGGAACTGCCAGGGAATGGACTCAGTAATCAAACCCCTGGACACAATTCCTGAGGATAAAAAAGTCAGAGTTCAGAGGACACAGAGCACTTTCGACCCATTTGAGAAGCCAGCTAATCAAGTAAAGAGAGTACATTCTGAGAACAATGCTTGCATTAACTTTAAGACCTCCTCTGCCGGGAAAGAGTCGCCTAAAGTTCGAAGGCACTCTAGCCCCAGCTCGGTAAGTGCAGCCTTCTCTCGTCACTGGGTCAGCAGAGGAGTATGACTCTCGTAATAGTAGCCAGCTGTGCTGAAGGCAGCAGGTAACTTAATCAGTGCGCTGTTGTTCATACTCTCCCACGGTAGCTTAATGTTCTGTAAGAGAGAAAAAGTGCAAAATCTATTCACGCTGTTTATTTATAAGTATTCAGAAAGCAAATGAGAAATGATTGCAATTTTTTTTTTTCCTGAAAGTTGTTTTCAGTTAGAGGAATTCATAATTAAAATTTGGTATCTCCAAGTCTTGGAGATTTTACTCTGTTTGCAGGCAGTAAGAATAGTTTTAACATTTGGCAAATTCACAAACAAATTCATTTCAGAATAAATATCAAGTTTTTTTAGCTTACACCAATTTGTTTTCAGCATAAGTTTTTTTAAAAAATTTAATAACTAGATATTGAAACTGATCATCTTAAAGAGAAATCCTTTTCATCATAATGAAACTTTGTAAACAAACTAAATCAAAGCAATTCTTGAATTTTGAACTTATAAAGTATATAATTTTGAGCCTGATTCTTGTCCTTTTTTCTATAAAATTTTTGTACTGTAGCTGATATTCCAAAATTGGTCTGCATTTAACATTGTAAAAACTTCATGATCTTTTGAAATTAAGTACTTTTCTGATTTAACTTAACACTTAAGACTTTTTTGATATAGATACTCTAAGAGTTTAAAAGGCAAGAGGAAAATGCTCAAAAATTTTGTTCCTGTTATCTTGCAAAGAACCACATGCCATTTCACAAATTTAAACTTGTGAGGGATAAAACAGGGCGGGAAAATTAGGTGCTAGTAGAATATGGACAGTTTAATTTGTTTAATCTGTATGCTGCTGTATAGATTTTGTGTCACATTTTGTTAATGAAATGGAAATAAATACTATTAATGCAATGTTAATTGATGATCTGTTTTTTTCCAGCTGGGCTGCATGATCTTGCATATGATTATAAAGTAGGGTCCACCTAGGTCACAAACATGTTGCTAACTTCTGGGAAAATTTTTAGATTCAGTACTATTTAGAAGAATGAAAGGAATTGTTGAGAATGATTCTGGTAGCATAGTGCCTAAGGCACTTGACTGCTAAGCAGAAGGCTGGCAGTTCAAACCCACCAGCCACTCCTTGGAAGGAGGGTTGGGCAATCTACTTCCGTATTGATACAGCCTCGGCAACCCAAGGAGGGGTTGCTATGAGTCGGGTCTGACTCAATGGCACATAACAACAGCAACAATACAAAGAGAGGGAGCTCTGGTAACATAATTCCTAAGACATTTGACTGCTAACCAGAAGGCTGGCCGTTCAAACCCACCAGCCACACCTTGGAAGGAAGATTGGGCAATCTACTTCCATAGAGATAGCACCTCAGAAAACCAAGGAGGGGTTGCTATGAGTTGGATCCAACTTGATGGCAGTGTTTTTTTTTTTTCTTTAAATACAAAGGGAATTATGTATTTTTTTAATTATATAATTATCTTACTATTATTTGTATATTAACCTATATAAGATATACAGAAATTTGAATTTCAGATACTGCAATCAGGCATACTTATACTAAAAAATTATTCACTGTTTATCTGAAATTCAAATTTAACTGGCTACTTTGCATTTTATCTGGCAATCCTACCTACTTATATTATTCATTTTGTTTTTCAAACTGTTATTACTTTGGGCATTGGAAGCTTTTTTAGGTTTATGCCTGTGTCTCTCTGAGATGCCCTCAGCCTTTTATTTTATGAACATTTCCTGGCTCGCTGGTCCTACAAAATGATACCAGTTTATATTGTATTTTACCTGCCCCAGCCCTGGAATTAGCTATTTATCCAGGGACCACTGGTTCCTTTTGTTGGAGGATGGCATTTAGAAGCCAAGATCTGGGTACTAAGTGTGCTTATTGCTACTGGGGAGTCTTGTTTTTTAAAAGTCAAAATATGCATCATGGTCTAAATGGTAACAGTGGCTAAATGGTAACAGTGGGCTTATGATATTCATTCTTAATTTCTAAGAGGGAATTCATTAAAATCTTTGCTAAGGAAAGTTGAGATGAATCTATATATATTCTGCATAAACTTAAAACTCACTGCATCAAATTGGTTCTGACCACCAGCCTTCTGGTTAGCAGTCAAATGCCTTAGGCACTACGCCACCACAGCTCCCATATATTCTGCATATACATGTATAATTGTATATAGACTGGTCATTGTATAAATTTGATGTAATTTGTAGTTATTTTTATTAAAATAATATCTGAACATAATTTAAAATATCAATAGGAGAGGACTCTGGGAGGAAGGCAGTGGAATAGGTTTTGGAACTCTTCATACAATTAGAGCAACTATAACCAAAACTAACAGTATCTACAGCAAAAATAACCAAAAAAACCAAACTCACTGCCATCGAGTCGACTCCGACTCATAGCGATTCCTCCTTGGGTTTCCGAGGCAGTATCACTGCAGAAGTAGATTGCTCAACCTTCCTTCCGAGGAGTGGCTGGTGGGTTTGAACCGCCAGCCTTCTGGTTAGCAGTCAAGT